ACCGTACCACTTACGTTACCGTTACGTACGTCTTTACGTTTGGTTTCCGTTTACGTTTCTTTCGTTACTCGTAAGAACGTACACTGACGGCGTTCTAACTACTCTCTCTCTCTCTCTCTCTCTCTCTCTCTACTGGACCAGAGTGCCTCTCTGTTTCTCCCTTCTTAAATTCAGATCAGGAATAAGCTCTCTCCATCTCTAAATCTGTGCTCTCTTCTCTCTTTATCTCTCTAAATTATCTCTTTCTCACGAGGAATTCCTACCTAAGTATTGTACAAAGGAATATATATATTATATCTTTCTCTCCAAATTATCTCTCTCTTTGGAATTCCTAATTATTCTGCAAGACACGAAGATTAGAGAGACACGCAACCTGTAGCATAAAATGGAGTCCTTTTTGTTTAAAGGGATCTCCTTTATCTAAGGGATCTGCTTTGATTTTGGATTGTTTTTATGGGTGGCTGGGGGGGATTTGGGTGTGATGGGACTGCACAGAGATGAGAGAAAACATAACTTGCCATCCAAATAAATTGACATGAATCTTTGAAGATGTGGTTTTCTGCCTTAACAGTATTGTATTTTATATTTCACTATAAAAAGCTTACAATTGTCCAAATTGCACGGGTGCATCTTACAAGATTTTTATGATCATCATTATCATCCGAGTCTTATCCCAATGATTTGGGGTCACTTACTTGAATCCTATTCCTCTATTCTTCTCTATCAAAGGCCATACCCTCAGTAAGACCAAAAGTCACCATACATTTTTTTACTACTTCTATCTATATTCTTTTGGGCTTTCTCCTTGCCCTTTAGAACCTTCCACTTGAACCAAATTCCACCTCCTAACTGGTACTGTATTAGGTCTTCCCTGCGCATGGCCAGCCCACGTAAGTCACTTTCCCTCATCTTATCTTATCTTCTAAGTTGCCTCGTATATATTCATTTAGATTTCTATCCTTTCTTGTCTTGCCACTCATCCATCTCAACATCCTCACTCAGCTATGCCATCTTATGGATAAGTTGTTTTTTTATTGTTACAAAATTTTTACTATGATGATAAAAAAATCTTTAAGTTTTGGGTATGCCCAAACTAGCCATATATTTCAGAATTTTAATAAGATCCAGTATCATTTCCTATTTAATTATACCTATTTCGAGACCCACTTTAAGTCTGTCTTTGTCAGCTTCCAAGGGAGAAAATCCAAGGGAAGATAAGAAATTGTGAAGTAGGCTAGGACTTCACTTTCCTTGGAAAAGGGGTATACTTTCTGAAGTTTTTTCAGGTACAAGCTCTATGGTTGTAAAAGTCTTCATGGTGCTTTTGTAAGCTTGTTGTCCCTTATAAAAGAATGTAAAGATAAAGAAAAACATGGTGCTGATACCAATGTAATCTTTGACATCACTAGTAGGGAGATCATTTTAAATTCCTGTCACAAGTAGGGAGACCATTTTAAATTAATTTCCATAGAAGGGGCAGCTGTCTCTCTTCTTCAGATTTTATTGATACAAGAGTCATTTTATGGAGTTTTTTTTCTTGTAGTTTTCTGCCAATTTCATTTATCATGTCTAAGGCGACCAAGTTACATTTTTCTATTTTCACTAGTGAAGCTCTTTTCTCGTTTCATCAACTGCAAATTTTTGGTTGAACACTGGTAAGCATCATTTATTTGATGCCTTTTGTCATTATTTTTCTTGTAGGTCTCTCTCTAGAAGGGTTGTTGAAAGTTTATGTTTGCAATTCAAAGTCCAAGTTGAGGTTTGTCATTATGAATTTTCTTTTATGTAATTGTTTGAGGGCTCTATGAATTCATTCTACTATTTTATTTATTTTTCTAGGTGGCAATTCATTTTAAGGTATATACCATCCTTTAACTAATATGGTTGGTATCCTTTTAAGTTATCTTGCCTACTATAAAAGTCTTACAATGAATATAGTTACTTTAGTGATTACAGATCTATGTTGGTCATAAACTTTACTTTGTCTATAAGCTTATTATCTAGGCTTACAATCTTTCTTGATAATTAGAACCTTTTCACCATTTTATTTCTCTGTACACAAAATATGGAAGCAGATCTTCTCTATGTTTGTGCTTCCAATATTGACTTCTCTAACAAAGCCAACTAGCCACTTTCGGTTTGGAGCTTTAGATTCAGACACCTTGTACTTGTTGCTAGATATCTCTTACCAATATAACTCTGTTCTTTGTTTCTTCTTCTCTTTTGCTTCTTTTTTTACTTGCCAATAGCGTATTAAGCCAGATATTACCTCTTATGTCCTACACTTGCCATATCTTGAGTTGATAATCCAAAAAAATGGAGACATTGAGGAAGGTGTCGCACCTAGAATTATAGCTGGGTGGACAAAGTGAAGATGTGCTACCGGAGTTTATGTGATTGCGACATACCAATGAAGCTAAATGACTATAGGACAGTTATGAGATCATCTTTGCTTTATGGGGCGGAATGTTAGGCGGTCAAGAAACAACATAGCATAGGATGAGTGTAGCTGAGATGAGGATGTTGAGATCGATGAGTAGTAAGACAAGAAGGGATGTAATTCGAAATGAATACATTGGGGAGAACTTAGGTGTGGCTCCAATAAAGTAGACTTAGGTGGGCTAGCCATGTGCAGCCCAGACCCAATACAACACCTGTTATCAGGTGCGAGTTGGTTCAAGTGGAAGTCTCATAAAGGGCAAAGGGTAGGTCCAAAAGGATATGATTGAAAGTAGTGAAAAAAGATATGGGGACTTATGGTCTCAGTGGAGGGTATGGCCCTTAATATAGCAGAATGACGAACCAAGATTCATGTAGTCGATCCCAACTAGTTGAGAAATGTCTCTAATGATGATTCAGCAAAGCTCCATATGCTTCATCCCTTTTGGATTATTCAACCTTATGGACTCCTTGTTGTTTAACCCAGTGTTCGTAAACTCGAACTGGAACGGTTAACCGGACATGAGGTTGGGAGCGGTTTGAACTGGAACCGGACTAACCGGGGCGGTTTACTGGACTAACCAGTCAAGTAGATTTTTTTAAAAAAAATAGGTCAAAAACTCCCAAATTTTTTTAAAAAAATATAAATACTTAGATTAAGTGTATAATATCTTATTACATATATTTATCTTACAAAAAAAACATTGAAACAACTTTTTATAAATTAATATTTGAATACTATGGTCCTATACATAAAAATATCTTAGTATATTTTTTGAAGATATTTTGTCATGTAAAATATTCTTCCAAGAATTAACATATTTATCCCAAACCTTAGATGAAAAACTTTGTTCTTTTTTTTTTACAAAAATCTCTCACATTAGGAATGAAAGTTTATGCACTTTTTTTGCAAATAACAAAAAGTAGCTTGATGCTATTAAAACAAATAAAAATGCCAACTAATTATGACAATAAATAGAATGGACCTCCTACATATAATTAGATAAAGCATAATTCGTACAATTCTTTTTCGATGAAGTTAAATAAGGCATACTTCACAAAAAGTACATCTCATGATATGCAACAAAATGAAAAATCAATGCACAGCACACTAATATGTTCTACTGTTCTTAAATGTTATTGTATGTATCTACCATATCCATATCAGTGTGTTGTGCATTGATTTTATCAAAAAATAAGAACAGTAGAACAAATAATTCGATCAAAAAATAATTTTATTAAGCAAATTAGAAAAACACTTCCAATATTCATCAAAAAACGTAATTTTATTAAAAAGTCATAATTCTATTAAAAGTAATTTTATTAAGCAAAATAGAAAAACACTTCCCAATTTCATCAAAACACATAATTTTCTTAAACAAAATATCTTTTTTAGAAAATCGACTTTTCAAAAACCCCAAAAGTGAAGCAACATTTCGAGCAAGAAACTACCATCAATGTTTGGATAATCAAACAAATAAACATACATGCATTGTAAAGGCTTTGATCATCTTTCAAACGCACCAAATATCATCAAAAAATATTCGGTATTTTTAATTTAATTGAAGAAAAGGCAGAAATTTCAGATCTATGAAAATTTCATGATATGGTGCAACGAAAAAATTCATATAAAAAAATTTACTCAATCATAAATAAACATACCAATTTTATTTAACATATGAAGCCTCAAAGATCGAAATACACAACTGAATCTGATAAAAAACAACCAATAAATGAACAAAAAATATGCGTTTTTGGGTAGAACACAAGTTCTCGGAGCAGCAGCTTTTCGGGCAAAAATAAACCCTTGATTTTTTGTTTTCTGAATAAATTAAAACTTGAATCTAGTAAATACTTCGAATAGAAATCAAAACCCTCAAATTTCATCAAGAACCATTAGGTATTGAGGAGATTATTGAAAGAATGGCGGAAATTTTCAAAAACCTAAAAAATCCACCATTTCAATCCAGGAAACTTCTTTTTTTTCAATGTTTAAATGCAAATTACTTGTTTTAGATCAATTATATAGTGATTTCAACCATTAAAATACGAATAAAACAAAAAATTGGCCGCAAACCGAATAAAAAAACGTGCAAAATTGGATTCACAAATTTCCTACTACATATAACGGTCTCTATTTCAAAATAACGCCGTTATTTATACGGTACCGTTATTTTCTAAAAAACGCCGTTATATCGACGAACCGGTCCGGTTAATTGAAAACCGGCCAATTTTATAAAAAAGGGCTGGTTCGACCTTGAACCGGCCGGTTTTGTGGCTGAGTTTTTTTGGAGAATGCCGTCTTGTGAGATGTATCGTAAAGCCGGCCCTAATCAGACTCGCCACCCCACCGATAGCGATCTAACCGGCTGGTTCCAGTTCTGACCTGTCGGTTTTGCGAACACTGGTTTAACCCTAATTTGATCTTGTGAGAGTTCTTTCTTCCACAAAGAATATACCTTGTGCCCAGCAATTGAGTATAATATTCAGAATAATATCATCTTTATTGTGAAGCACACTTCTAAGCCCCTCAGGATCAACTTTTTCTTGCCAAATCTGTCGGTGCTCTTACCATTATAATCCCACTGCGTACTGCATTGGTCTTCGTTGATAGCTTTGAAGACCTATCTTCAAGATCCCTTACTATTTTGAGCCTGTGATTTGATTTTTGATGACTCCAGTTGGAATTTCTTGCATTGTAAACCTTGGAAATTGTGGTTATTCTTTCTTTCCATATCTCCCATAGAAGCATGGTTATCCCATTTTTATGCCTTTATTTCCATGTTATTCTTGGCCATCCTTGCACCAAGCAAGAGAAAGAATAAGGCATGACTTTGAACATATTGAGGAAACCTCAGCATGCCTATGTTCATTGACAGACTACAGTTTCACTAATCCTAAGTATAATCTCTCTTCTTCCTCACCGCACATTGTAGGTCTCAACTGACGTATTCCCCATTTTGAAGATGATATTTGTTGAGATATGTTGTAGACTAACTAAATGAACACAATGAGCTAGGGAGGGGGGCCAAAGCCGCATGCTTTCTACCTCATTATTTCCACAGCTGTGTTCAATCTCCGTCTAGGCGCAACATAAACTTGTGGGTGGTAGCAACTCGTTATCCTAGCTATTTCCCCATCTAAATTCTTTTTAAGGAGCAACGTTAAGCATACACAAAGTGATTTGATGTGGCACAGAACGAGTCTAGACTATGGACCTCTTGCTCCAACTTTGTCCTTGGAAAATGGGCCTCTTAGGATTCCATGTACCCCTTGTTTCATAGAAACCTCTATCTTCTAGATGCTGATGCAGTCAAGGAGTAAACACCCCTTGCATTTGATTTTTGTAAATTTATTTTTTTGGGGTGAACAGTTCAAGAATCATTATTTTTTTAAGGGAGATTGTTAAAGGGTTACTTAGTTTTAGATTTCCTTTCTTGGGTTTTTTGTGGTAGTCTTAGAATTGTGGATATTAGTGAGCTTGCATATACTAGACTAAGACATGTGGAAATTAGAATAGGTTTGGAATTCCTTATGGATTTAATTCTTTGTGGAGGAGTTCTAATAGTTTGGCAAAGATCTTGTTTTTATTTCAGTGTATAAAAGGGGGATATGAGGCCTTCACAGGAGACCGAATATTTAGTCTCTTGTTGAATAATGAAACAAAAATTTTGCTTCCCTTTAATAATATGACTTGTTGCTGGTGCTCTGTCTTGTTTTAAGCATGTAGTGTGTTCATTTTTTGGGTGTCTGTGGCCAAATTCTTCTCTCATTAATCTTTTTTTTTTGTGATTTTCGCTGCGCCAAAGTGGTACTAGAGCAAGTTTTCGATCTGTCAGGCTGATTGGGGACATGGTAGAGGAGGAAGGCACAATCAAGCGCAATATGACATGTTCCAAGAGCAACAAAACAAGTAGATCAAATGTTGCGAGAAATCAAGTCTTCTATCCAGAACCACCGATCAATCCCTTCGCGAGGGGGATGTTGATTTGAGGGAAGATATGTTGTTTAACAAACTTAATCCTTCCCACTATTAAGAGGGGGAAGATGCTCATATGTATGGGGGATCGAATGAGAGATTCGTTAGGGTGTTGGAGATACGTTATCATGGGGTACGGTTATATGTTATTGATTTCTTGAGACGGCAGATATGGAGGAACTTCTTGATTAGCCCATGACTCTCGAGCATAGCTGTTGGAAACGCCAGAGATTCCATATCGTTTTAGGATTTGAAATCGTGGAATCACAACTATTGCTAGAAGATTCCAGTTTTTGGAATCGACGTTTGTATGGGGAATCACGGGAAATGGGATTCCTACT